AAGTTGGTAATGTGATGATCAAAATGTGTACATCAATTAGTTAGTTGGCAAGACTAGTTCCTCGTTGCAAAGCTTACCTTTTTTATGGACCAGGGGGTAAACAAGTAAACGGATCACCTGATGGTAAGCGATCGGCGCCGCCCAGGGACACCGGCGACTTTTGAAGTGCTTTACCGGCTTTTTAAAAAGGAATACATTCTTTTCTTAAAGGATTACATGGACAATAACATTAATTTAAATTTAATTTAATGTTAATTAACCAGTTTAAACTGTAGCATGTTGACCAACAATTTTTTACGTCTTTTTAAAATTGTTGTACTATATTAACTTCTAACAATGTGTGAGTTACATACAATTTACATAATTCGAAATGGTTATCTCCGTTGTGAAAAATGAAACGAACGAATGTAGCTTCGAATCTACTCTCTAAGATCAAAAGAATAAGTACAACTTCTTTACATAAAAAATGAGGTGAGAAGTAGGGATTACCCTGTCAAGTACCATTAGGAATTAGAAGGAATTGAAAAAGAAAGCTTTTATTAGCATTTTAATAAGTAATTTTGCATAGATATAATACTTTCGTGTTAAAAAGTCAATGTTTCTTGCATTATGTATATTTTAGGATTAGTACAATACAATACAGTACAGTACAGTACAGTACAGTACAAGTCTATAGTGTATGCTAAAAAATGAATTCAAAAGCATTTTCAAAAATAGATCCATATTTTGATTTTTTTAAGAATTGAAGCAGATTTAGTTGTCAGCATTACACATAAGGAAAGTCGAATTTATTTGATATCGTGCTAAAATCTTTGCAACGGACAATTCCAAAATGGTGATATGTTTTGCTCACTCCAGTGTGGGAGAGCCTTGCTTCGGCACGAATGAGCCGGCTCGACCGGAGTGATACCATGGCCTCACAGAAAACCGACGAGAAGCAACGCTTGCGTTGTGTTACGTCGTGTGAGTGAGGTTACTGGAGGCCTCCCTTTCCCCAATCTCCCCAATTCCTGAATCCCCAACGATCCTCAAACTCATAATCCTCAGAAGGCCGGTAACGCACTTGTAACGCCTCTGGTGTTCCAGGTGTCCATGGGCGACGCCGATTGCTTACCATCAGGTGATCCGTCTGCTCGATTACCGGCGTATGCCGTAAAACAAAACTCAAAAAACGCCTTGGTAACCAATCAATAACCAATGAGGAAACTCAATTATTCAACAATGATAATTATTTAATTCTTCAAAGGTATTCCAAAATCAATCTGAATCTTTGACAGAAGTAAATGATCTCAAGTAAACAATTGATTGACAATGAACGAGTTAAATTGGTTTTACTCCACGTTCAATGAATGACTGAATTCATTTTGTAAAGTTTTTGCATATGAATGGAATGAATGAAGTGTTACGTACTTGTGTGAGTCTGTGTTAAGAAAAAGTTAAAGACAATTTTGACATTCGACTAAGTTTGTTTGATAGTTGTTCTTTGGCATTTTAAAATTGTATTTTTAGAAGTCGATTTTTTTGTCGATTTCATTATTTTTTATTTATTTTCAAAGTTCGTTTTAGTTAATTCTAGGTGTAATCTTAAAATAAAGATAAATTTTTTTAAGTGATGTAATATGTTTTATATATGTACATTTTTAAGCCCTTTTCTGCGAAAGACGCAGTTAATATAGCACTTAGCATATTTCAAAATTTTCCACTGTGTGCGTTACAAATTTAGGTTACTCAAAAATACCTGATTAGAAAACCAAATATAACAAAAGTAAATCAACAAGGTAGATAGTAGGTGCATTTAAAACAGAGTGCAAAATATGCTGAATAAAAATAACAAGATTAATGAAATATTTACATGAAACCGTGTTATCGGCATACTATTAAAGTTTATCGCCGAATCATTTTAGCAACCTGTTAGCACAGGCTATTGGAGGACCTGTCAAACTATATCAGTAACGCTTGGTTTATTCTATATTCAAGTTTCATGCTTCGATAAAATGCTTTCGGTATTATTCCGTTGGGCTTAAATTGTTTAGCTTTTACGCAGATGAAGATCTTTACTTTAAGTTTATAATCAGGTTTACAATTTTGTCATAAATCAAAGCGTAGAAGACATGCGTTTTGGGTACTTCTTACGCGTTTTTTGTCTATAAAGTTTTTTGTGTATAATTCGTAATTTATTTTACGCAAAACCAAAGGTAAGTTTAATAAGTATTTGTTGTTATTGTAGTTTTATAAGGTCCAAGTAATGTTGTGATATTCAAAGTTATTTCTTTTTGAGAGAAATAAAATCATCCATTGACTCGTTATGCTAGAGCGAGGTGGGAGGGAGTGTCAGACTCTTACTGACTAAAAACACCCCGTTCCTACTCTTGCACTTCGAGCTGGAGCCCCGGTAACCCGTTAAGTGCTCCGCGGCTCCGTCGACATCAGCCCTATTGGGCCTCCTCTGTAGTGGTCTGGTGGCTCTGTTCAAACTGGAATCTCTTCTTACCTGCTATTGTTATTTATAATACAACCCAAATTAAGTTTAAACCTACGCTTTAAAGTCGATGCATTCTATATGACTAGTAATCCAACCACAGCAATAATTGAGTGCAGTTACTCTGTGCCTATTATGTCTATCCACCGCTTTTCATTTGGTGCCGTGCATACGTCATTTGACTATATATATAGTCTGTATATAACTTACTACGATGACCAAACATATTAATTTGAAATGTACATATAACGCCTTTGTTTAATAACTATTATGTTATACTATTTTAATTTAAATAAATATGGTCAATTTCATCTCTGAATGCAATAAGATTAGAATTAAAATAATACGAATTAAAACAAAATTTCGTTTATCCATATTGTATTGAAAGTAACTTAGTTATTGGGTTTACACCCAATAACCCAATAACTAATTGTAGTAATTGTTATGGATTGATAATTTATTTGGGATTTTTTTATTGATTATATCGTCATGATTTTTTTAAGGGCCGTACTTACATGGGTTTCAACAATTGAATTCATGAAACGTAGCTAACTGTGCATTTCAGTAACATTTATTAAAAAAAATGAGACCATAGATTCCGACTCAAGGATTTACATCAATACCTAATATATTTTAGAAAATATTTTACTGGTACTAAGAAAACATAACTGTGTATTATCTATGTGCTCCTTTATATTGTTTATTGTTTATTGATTAACACGGTAGACACCAATTACATTAATCAAATTAAATTACAAAAAATTTAAAAAGAAAACTAAATCAAAGTACATAATATAAAAAGGTGTTAAAAGTAAATGAGAAAATATAGTAAAATTACAAAACAGATAAAGTTGGACACAAAAAAAAATACATGAAACAAAATACAAAACAACTTAGAATTAAAATGAAATAACAGTAATAATAACAATATACGTAGGTACACAGAATCTGGAAACCAAGATAAAATAACATTTATATGGAAAATAGAAGTGTGAAAACAAAATAAAACACACCATAAATTTTGTATGTGCATATTTTCTAGCTATAAAGAGAACTATAAATTATATAATGAATTTTATTCGAAATACATAGGTTGCTACACTCAAATAAAGTAATAGTTATGAGATTTATACGTCTCTTTTATCTAACAGACATATTGTGACCTGATTTTATTTCCGTAAAGCAATAAAAAATTATAATGAGTTCTATATTATTTTAAACTGTCAAACACCAAGCGGTCACCGGTGACCGCAACCTATTATTCTATAATTGTGTCTACAAAACCGGTACTCGACGAGTTAAAAGACAAAAGATGACTTTATTTTCTTCAGTGAAATGATAAGTGTTATATTGTATTTCATTTTAACGCACCTGACACTTTTTTCCTACTATGAAAAAAGTATTTGTTTATAAGAAAAAGTCTAATGTAGGTAACATTATTGTTCTTTTTCTGTGCTGTCTACTCAATTACTTTCAGACAGCCAGGCGAAAATGGATACACAGAAATAGAACTTCATGAACATTTTTATTTGACGTAATTTAAAACATCTTGTTTAATGTTGTCAAAAACAAAACAAGTCTTTATTTTTTTTAAACTGATGTTTTGGAACGTCAATTGTTTGTCACAATATAATTATTTAATGATTTAGTTTAACATATACTACTTAGTTTGTAATTAGTTATATTATCTAACATAATGAATATATAAAAAACTCATGACTATGATTTCAGTGTCGTAGCTCTTTTTGGAAAAAAAATCAAAAGATCTAAATCAAAACAAATCAATGTAGTAAAATGTAAAAACTAAAAATAAAAAACAATTTCCCATAAAACATCTCCATTTAATAGAGGATCTGTATAAATCTTTCGGTAACATTATTCTTACACTCATTTATTTTCGAAAGTGTCATGTCTACCAAATAAAAAACGCGCGAAAGAATCTCACACCAGGAAAGAAATTTAAAAATAGAACGTCATTTGTTATCTGACGTCGATCATAATGGCCGGGTATATTTGACAGTCGAAATTTGTGTAGGTACTGGCTGGAAGTTTGAAAAAGATTATAATCAACCTTCATGCTTGTGATGTCGGTCATAGCACCTTCAAAAATCAGTATTATTTGTTTTAAATATATTCCGTTAGGACGCATTAAAAATATGAATAAATTATTCAAACATTTACTGAAACGCAATTATTAAAACCGCGTAATACCTAAATTCAAATTAGGTTTATTTAGTGACATTTATAACGTTATCAATCTTTTGAATAACAAATAATATTTTAACATAACATTCCGTTAATTGTTGAAACTTAGTTCTGTGGAAAATGATTCACCGACCTATTGTCGAATTTGTTTGAAGAGGCTTTAGTAAGCAACACTTGTTCAATGAAAGTGTGTATGTTCTATAGAGTATAGCAGCTGTAATAACAATTCATTGCCATGCAGTGTGGAAGGCGAATGAAATTTTCAGTGCTCCACGTAAAGGGACGTTGTTCAGCCAGTCTAAACCGAGGTATCGTCCCGACTCGTCGTACGGACGCTTCCCCGCGCAAACGTACCGCGAACGAAAGTTTGTGTTATAGGTATTACTTATATGATTTTCATTGTAAAAATAAATAAATTAATAAACATAATTGTAGTTGGAATAAGTGATAAGAGTTTGAAGAATTATTATTGTTAAATTAAGTTGATTGGACTAAAGTTTTTTTCCGTTTTGGAGTTTATAAACGTAAGTTTTTACGATGATATATTTTAGTGCATTGACTGACAGATTATTATTTATTTGAAAGTAATATTTTAATAGATTTACATATATTTTTTACGGCGAAGAAAATATTGTACAGTCATGTTATTTAAAAGTTATTATTTCATATAGACTACAAAAGTTTCAACAATTTTTTGGATTAGTAATAATTTATAACCGTTTAATATTTTTGGTGCGTTTATCGATCCCAGTGTAACGGAATATCACTGCCATTATATCTATTAATTAAAAATGTTTGTGTCAACTTTCTTCATAACAAGGTTCCTCCCATTAGAAACTTCATGTTCCTTTTAATTAAAACTTTTAGGGATAATATGATCTGAATATGGAGTGTCATTATTTTCTTTATGAACCTTAAATTTAAATTCATAAGGGTCAGTTTCACATATTATGTATTGTATGTATTATTCACAAATTTAAAAGACAAATTATGTCATCAAATCTAGTTCCATTTTTATTTGGCGGAAAGTGGCTATAAAACCGGTCGTAAAAGAATGAAAATTTATAGTATCTTACTATCTTAATTTAACATATTGCCAGCTTCTTGAATACATCCGAATGAAATAGCTCATGGTAATTTAGTCTTTATTGAGTGTTAGTAATTGTTAAAATTGGGTGTGTTTTCTTTGTCGTCCTATTATTGCAATGGGTACGTATACAATAGTTGTGACGAAATTGTTACACGGTTTCCGTGCTGCTATTTGCTGGGCCCCATTTTCGGGCGCCCTTTCATTCGTTACGGCCCGCATCCGACAAATCTTAACAACACAATATAATCAAACATTTGTAGGGCCCGTGATTTGCTTACGGATAACAAATACTCGTGTTGTCAAAGCACGTCTATGTTAGATTAAAACGTGAATATTTGACATGAACTATTAAAAACGATGGGGTTGACATATCAAAGGTAATAACCCCTTATAGAAAAGCAAATAAAAAAACTATTCAAAAATTCATAATTTTTCACATTGATTGGAGTTTATGTATTTCTGCTATCGGAACGTTTTATTAATATGAAATCAAAGTTTAATAATTGGTAAAGCAAATTGTCAACATTCTCAAATTTCCAATGCAATTACTGAATATATATTTTTTTAATTTTCTTTATGCAGAAACTAAGTATAGCTGCAAAAAGGCAAGCTTGATGTGATAGGCGTATTGTTGTCATATTATAGACGTCATGATGCCATTGACTTATTACATTACGATTTTTTTTTCTGTACGGTGCGCTTACAAACTTACTAAAATGTTGTGGATCACACAAAGAGTTATTCAGTGCGGTCGAACCCGCGACACGTTCCGCGGCGCCTAGTTGCACAGCCAACGCGCCAACCTGCCAGCCAAAATTTAAAAATGAAGGCACTTTTGAACGTCAACAAAAAACTTAAAGTGAAGCAATTTGCTCATTCTAAGATTCCTAAAGAGAAGAACGAGCACGAAACTCCATAGGTTATTCTTTTTCAATCAGGTTCACAATACAATTTTCAGTCACATAGTCTTGTGGGTTCAATTGGGTGAAAATATTACAACTCCAAATTCCAGTCAAACAGATGAAAAAAGAAAATAACCCTAAGGATAATAATATCATACAGGCTGTAGCTGACACTTACTTACTGCGCTACACTTACACGTATTATGTCAAGTTACTTTATTATTATAAGGTATTTATCTATTAACTTTTTCCATTGCTAAACAAATTCAGTTCCAGTTTTCTTTTCTCTTTCAAAGAAATGAAAAGACAAAAGAGTTAGCTTCAGTCACAAAGCTAATTGCATGTTGGACGTCAAACGTTAGTTTGAGGCATTTCTACAAAACAAGTTTCCTTCTATCTTTCGTTTTACTGTCTTATCAATGACTTTCTGGAACTTTCCCTTCTGTAAAAATAACGAAGTTCTATTAGGTATTAGATTTAAGAATAAGTAATTCTCGATCAGTTGCCGAGTGCGACTTACGAGCAAGGGCAAAGGCAATTTCGAATTGTGCCCCGTATATAGCAATCACCCCCTATTACATGCTTCACATAACATAAATATTGAAAAGTGGGTGTTACATTGTACAATGGCATTATGTGCCATAATGTGCACCTCTATCTGCCCCTTCGGGGATTCTGAATCAAATAGTCTTATTGCCTTTGTACTTATGGGTATTCAAAATGTTAAATATGTAGCTTAAAATTGTTGGAGAATAACTGTGAGTATAATTATATTATCTTTCATCCTGTTGTGGTGTGATGTGTATTCTTAATTATCTATAAGCATTACATTGTATTCAATAGATGTATGCATATATAAAGTGTTTAATATTCTTTTTAATAAACAGTATACTCGTATACTCGGCAGCTGTGTCATTCCAACACCATCCCTGCATGGCGACCGTGACAGCGAGCTTTGTTTAAAATACTTTTTTCATTTTACAACAGGATTAATAACGGCGAAAAGTAGTTGTAATTTGTGTCAAGTAGTTGCACTTACTATAAAATATACCTCTGCTTTTACATTCTGGATATGGCACATATTGTTTTGTTATGGTAATCGATGGTTTGCGTGCTGTTATGCGTCCTACGATTAGTCGTTCCTGTAAAATAATATAGCATGACATATCAAAATATATAGTTTGTTCAATGAAAGTGGTATTCTACTTACGAGTTCATCAAAGAGGTGGGTCGCGCAAAGAGGTAGGTATTATGTTTTTTTTTTCAGTTCTTCTAATAAGTATTCTATGAATCTCTCCTAATTGAGGCTGATATTAGAAAATAGGCTCACTATCTTTTATATGTATACAACTTATAACTACAACTTACAACTAGTGATTGATTATTACATTTAATACATCATAGAGGTATTTGTATTCATCATCATCATCAACAGCCTATAAATGTCTACTGCTAAGCAAAGCCTCGTCTCACACGGAGAAGGTTTGAGCATTGATTATCACGCTTGCTCAATGCGGGTTGGCGATTACAAACTTATAATTATAAATTAAAAGCAAAGGTTTCCTCACGATGTTTTCCTTCACCGTTTATCAGTGTTGTCTAGATAATCTTTGAAAGTACACATAACTTGGAAAAAGTCACATTGGTACTTGCCGTTGGTAGGTTCTGAACCCGCACCCTGAGAGCATGAGAAGCGGGTGTTTTAAACCTCCGAGCTACCACGACATTTTTGTATTTGTATTTATATTACATTGCATAAAAACATTTACATGCATTAAGTGACTTGTTACATATTTTTAAACGATTTTAGAAAGATAAGGTTCTCAGTTTGGCCTTTTTTTTTTTTGATGGGGGAAAATCATCCAATGACTTCTCCCGCCCGGGTGAGGCGGGAGGGAGTGTCAGACTCTTACTGACTAAAAACCACCCCGTTCCTAATCCTGCACTTCGAGCCGGAGCCCCGGCAACCCGTTAAGTCTTCCGCGGCTCCGTATCGGCATCAGCCCTGTTAGGCCCATCTGTGGTGGTCTGATGGCTCCATGAGGCGCGCGCGGAACGCAACGCGCCGTACGCTCGGGCCTGGTTCTGGTCGGGCGGCGAGTCACCCATGCTCGCCGTCCGCAGGTCTCAGTTTGGCCTGTACGTATGTATTTGGCCTGTACGTATGTATGTTTGTGCGCAATTGTTTCGCGATTGGCACAAACGATTTTGATGCGGTTTTCATAAAAAAATTTGTGATAGGTACTTAGGAGAAGCCTTCATAGTATATTATTTAAATTACAACAAAGAAAGAGGAGTTTGAAGTCGGTTTTTTTAAACGAAGTTTATGCAAAAAAGTATTCTACATGTTTTTCCAAAACAGGTACCTACACATTATTCGACAGACGAATTTCAATCTCAAGCAAAATATGGCCTGAATTTCCATGTGAGTACATATGAAACTCCTGAAATCTGGCCTTGACAACATAATATGAATGGAATTTTCTTACTGAGATCCGTTGCCTGACTTGTTAATTAGCATTGCCAAGAAAAAAGTCTTGAGTTCGATGTTCGATCTCAGCCAACATCGGTTTCGAATAACCTTTAATACGATACGGCTTCCAATATCGGTGGTCTATCTTATACAATTCCTCACATGTAGTCAATTTTTAACGCCTCGCGTTTACAATATTTTGAATAGGACCTTGAAATGCGTTTTGTCTAGAACCTAGAAAAAAATGTAGTTTCAAGGTTTTATTCAATAGCTAGTTTTGTAAAATATCGAATTTTATATTGTCAATGTCAATGTCAAAAAACAATATCAACTGACAAGAGTCAGTTTACAGCTGCGCCTCCTCTACGCAAGAGTAGCTTACTATATGCTTGGCAGATGAATTGGAGAATGCAAATTACAAGGAATATGGCTACATTTCTATCAGACTTTACAATCGACAGTGATCGCATTCACATCTATAAATCAGCTGATATTATTGTATGCGTTCAAACGGACACTTTATGAAACCTCTCACAATAAAACACACTTATCATTATTTCTTTTTTTATATACCTGATATCTTTTACTCTTCGAAGGGAGAGGAATAGATTTATGTTCTTAATTTTGTTACAAATCTCAAAATATTTTGATTCCCACGATGTCTAAACCCAAAACACCATTACCAGCCGCAAAAAACAGCAAATAAATTTGTCGGATTGCAATAAAAATAATAAAATAATAAATAAACCGCCATTCATTTCTTGTATTCCATAGTAGGTACAGTTTCATTATCATTGTTCATGCAAAATTAAATTAGTAAGAATTTAAAATTAATGTGATTATGATTAACAAATAAACAACAATAACGTATGTTTATTAATTACCAACTTCGGATCCCATCTATCTTTGTACCACCACTCATTAGTTATCAGAGGGAATTTGCTTTGCTAACAGGTAATTAGAGGTCGTGGTTTTTGTGATGCCGAATAAAACGCCGGCCACATTTTTACAAGCTTCCCAAACAAATGTTTGTAATTTTATTACCATTTTAGACAAAGC